TAGAAGTGAGGAGGAAATTCATGCCAGTGGGCTTTGGAAAACCTTATTGGCACCATCAGATGAGTTGCTCAGTCATGGACTTAGGGGAATCTAGGTTTGTGGAGCCTGATCTGGGAACCTTTATGATTGCTTTATCTTGTGCTGCTGGACAGGATACTCCCATATTTCACCTGAAAACAACCTCAACTTGTTTCTCTTCTGTTTCAAGGCCATAGCCTTGGCCAAGTACTCCTTTTAATGTCCTTTAACATTAAAGAACTTTAATATTAAAGAATGTTCCACTCAAGCAATGAAGAAGTCCAGTTGAGTATTTGAGCGGGGTGTGCAAAGACCAGGAAACCACGCTAGTGAAGAATATCTTCCTGATGTTCGGGTTCTCTTGCTTTTCATCCTGGGCCTTTCGTATGCTGACCTTGGATCACCTCCGACCCCATTCTTAGTGCATTTTATGACAGACCCTTGGTTGAAGATAGATTGGGAATAGGTTTATTGCTTTTATTTTGTATAGGTATATTTTGATTTAAACCTATTTTAACTTGTTGCTAGTCCTTTCAAAATACTGCTCACCTTATTTGGGTGTGTAATGGTGGCCATTTCTCTGGAGGAGTGGAGTTAGTGGCATCTCTGTTATTAAGATCAGAATCCAGAAAGCAAGTCGGGATTGAGGCATTCTTATTATATACAAGTATCCTCAGTTCTTCAAGAGGAAATGAGAAACTTCTTCCCCTTCAGAGAATGTGTTGAGGACAGGAAAACATCATTTCAGGCATTGTTGGTGAAGTGGAACTCTAATCTTAAAAGGAATTGGAGATCTTTCTGTTAATAGACATGGGGCTGTAAAAAGTGCTATATAGTGTGGTTGGCTTTTCATTAAAAGCGCCATATAGTTTGGTCGGCTTTTCATCTTCTTTCTCTCCACCTGGCTCCCCGCCCCCCCACTCGAGCCCCCCTCCTCATTCCCACTCCCCAAAATTCCAAATGGAACCATGTTTCTCAAAGTGTGATTTGAAGGTTGCATTCATCACAATTAATTTGGATTGCTTGTTAAAATCAGATTCCTGAGCTCACTTCCCAGATTGAATTAGAATAGTGTTTTTCAAGCAGTGTGCCACAAGAATTTTTAAAACATGCAATACCTGACTCTTATTCAGGGGTACTAACCTCTTTTCCCTTAGCTTGTCAAAACTAGCACAATAATAGCCATCCGATGTGAATGCCCTGTTTTGAACCATAAATATATAGGTCGTATAATAGAGTTGCATATTATTGGTTAATTCTTGGTACCAGAAACCATTATACAAGTATAGGCACCTGATTTTTTAAAATTCACTTTGGAGCAAAAAGGGTAGGTCATTACTATTATTAATTTTTTTGTAAATCAATCAAAATTATACCTTTTAAAAAATATATATATATCTTATTGATTTTTTACAGAGAGGAAGGGAGAGGGATAGAGAGTTAGAAACATCGATGAGAGAGAAACATCGATCAACTGCCTCCTGCACACTTCCCACTGGGGATGTGCCCACAACCAAGGTACATGCCCTTGACCGGAATAAAACCTGGGACCTTTCAGTCTGCAGGTTGACGCTCCATCCACTGAGCCAAACCTGATAGGGCGAAAATTATACCTTTTTTTGGTCAGATCAGCAAAAAATATATTTTTTGGTTTGCCACAGAATTTTAGTAATTAGCTTATGTGTGCCAAAGATGAACAAGGTTGAAAAACACTGAATTAGACTATCTGGGGGTGGATCCTGAAAATCTACATTTAAAAAAATTAATTAACTAATTACTTTTTAAAATCTTTATTATTGAAAGTATTATATGTGTCCCCTTCCCCTCACCCTACCCCCAAACACTGACCTCTTTTAGCCCGCCCCCCACCCCAAAAAAAAATTTGTTCATTAGATTCCACATATGAGTGAGATCATGTGATACTTATCTTTCTCTGACTGGCTTATTTTGCTTAGTATAATACTCTCCAGGTCCATTTATGCTGTTGCAAATGGTAAGAGTTCTTTCTTTTTTTACAGCTGCATAGTATTCCATTGTGTAAATGTACCACAGCTTTTTTCCCCACTCATCTGCTGATGGGTACATGGGCTATTTCCAAATCTTAGCTAGAATCTACATTATTAAAACGTCCAGTTGATTTCTCATGCACATTATACTTAGAACTGAAAACAATAGGATCTTTGACATTATATTGTGACTATGAGAGCAAACTACTTCTAAGTCTTTTCTTTCTGATGAACTACATCGTGCTTACCCATTTTCAAGGAGGAGCCAGCTGCAGAACCCCTACTAGAAATTCCCATTAACGTACCTCCCTTTCTGGTATCATTTCATCCCTTTGGAAGGAATTAAATTTTGCACCCAGATGTGAAGTATTCATTGTTAGTAGCTGCTGCTCTTTTTAAAAAAATATATCTATATATATTTTTATTTATTTCGGCGAGGAAGGGAAAGGGAGAGAGAGATAGAAACATCAAAGATGAGAGAGAATCACTGATCAGCCGCCACCTTCATGCCCCCCCACTGGGGATTGAGCCTGCAACCTAGACATGTGCCCTGCCCTGGAATTGAACCCTGATCTCCTTGTTCATAGGGTGATGCTCAGCTGCTGAGCCACACTGGCCAGCCTTTAGTAGATGCTGCTCTTTAGATGGCACCGTAAACACTCTGGGAGCAAGATTCCTATGTACCTACCCTATCAGTGTGAGAAATAGGAGTTCCCTGCTCAGTAGCATAGGCAAGAAAATAGTGACTCTCCTTAAGACCCCTGTGGAGTGGCCAGATTGCCAATGTTTGTCTGGGAGCCTGGCTGGGATGGGATGGGCCCAGATTCCTGTCCTGGGCAGACTCCTCCAGACCTGACTGGAAGCTGCAGAGGAAGTTCCTGTTAACAGATGGAAAGGGCGTTTGCCAGAGGCCCCAGCTTTCCTGACAGGGGTGCCTGAGCTGATACAAACCCCTTGCTGCTTGGGCTGGTGGGGCTAGCCAAGTTTCTTTTTGTTGAGTCTTGTTTCCACCCCCAACTCCTCTTCAGTCCTACACATGCTGGTTTATTTGAACACTCCATGCTGATCTTGGGTTGAAAGCCTCTCATTGTTTTTGAGCTCAGTGTTTAGATAACACCACATGCCTGTAGGAGCTAGGGCACCCTGGAAAGGAAATGCCTGGGCTCTAACAGCCCCGTCATTATTCTCTGCATGTGAGTGACTGTGGCCTGTGTTAGGACCATTATAAGAACATTTTTCTGCAGAGGTTATTAGTTGGGGCCTGCAGGGATACCAGACTTCTTGATGTTTGGAGTTCTAGGGACTGTTCTAAGTCTCTTTTTCCTGCCGTTCCAGTTATAAGAATTAGAGTCTGTTTGCCCGAGACTTGCTTCTACACATAGCTGGAGTACCAGAGTATTCTTGCCTCTGGTGAGAAGTCTGTTTTGGGGACATAGGACTGACTGGCTAGTGGTGGTGTAGCCTATGTTTTTATGACCAGGTGAGGTTGGCAGTTGCCTTTGCACTGATTTCAGGGGCTCTTTTCCCCAGGGGATATCTCTTTCTTGTTCCCTTAATTTCCCCCACCAACTCTCTTACCAAAAATAAAGAAAAAGAAAATGTGTTCTCCTCTTTCAATATTAAATCTCTTCTGGTAGTATTTTTTTAGACTCTTCATAGGAAATATCTTTAAGCCCCAATTAAATGCTTTTTAAATGACTGACAAATAGTGTCTCCAGTTTTTAGTATGAAGTCCCAAAAGCAGAATCCAATTACAGATGTAGTAAAGGGAAACACGTCATCTTGCTCTTCTAGTTGTAACCGCTTGCTCTGCATTTAATTAAAATTTTTTCTTTAATGTTTACTCTTGAGTCATGCCATATGGAATATAAAGGTTTTCTGTGAACAGATTAAAAATTGAAAAATAAAGACAAGTAATAAAGTGACTGTTATTGAAAAATATTCAGAATTAACTATAGCCCTGGCCAGTTGCTCAGTGGTTACAGCATTGGCCCACAGACTAAAGGGTCTTGGATTTGATGCCCAGTCAAGGGCACATACCTCGGTTGCATGTTCAATCCCTAGCCTGGTTGGCAGGAGGCAACCAATTGATGTGTCTCTCTCATGTCGATGTGTCTCTCTCTCTCTCTCTCTCTCCCTCTCCCCCTTTCTCCCCCTTTCTCCCTCCCCCTCCTCATCCTCCCTCCCTTCCAAAAAAATCAATGGGGAAAATATCCTCAAGTGAGGATTAAAAACATTTTTTTTAAAGAATTAACTATTAAGTGCCCGGCTGGTGTGGGTCAGTGGTTGAGCATCGAGCTATGAACCACGAGGTCATGGTTCGATTCCCATTCAGGGCACATGCTGGGGTTGTGGGCTCAATCCCCAGTGAGGGTGTGCAGGAGGCAGCCGATCAGTGATTTTCTCTCATCATTGATGTTTCTATCCCTCTCTCCTTCTCCCTTCCTCTCTGAAGTCAATAAAAATTTTTAAAAATAATAAAATAGAATTAACTAAAATATCTGTTATTCTTTCTAATGGTTCTTACATCTCTAATACATATGGTAAATATATCCCTTAAATACCACCTATAATTAGCCAATTAGCATGGACACGACTTATCTCCCAGCATCTTGACAGAGTATGTGTTTGATTCTATAGTTAGCTCAGGTAAATGAAATGGCAAATCATTTTTAATTTGTCTCCTTTTTCAAGATGCTTGTGTTATCCTTGTAAGTAAATTTAGTAGTAATTCACCTTTTGGAGATTGAAAAGGGGAACTGGTAGATTAAATAACTTGCTCTAATGTAATCAAGGAGCTCTCCTATCCTTGTTATTGCCTTCAAGCTTACTGCAGAGAAATACCTTTCTGCCGAAATTCAGATGTACAGGCTTGACAGGAACCTGGGCACATTTTGGGAAGAAATGAGTGCAGCGTGTCTTGCAGGCTCTTTCCAGCCTGTCTTACGCCTTATCCCTGTGCTTTGTGCCTTCTAGTTCTCTCCTACGCTATGGTGGCAACCTGTCCCTTCAAAGTGCCATGAGTGTGCGATTCAACAGCAACGGGACTCAGCTCCTGGCCCTGAGGCGTCGCCTGCCCCCTGTGCTTTATGACATCCACTCCCGCCTGCCTGTGTTCCAGTTTGACAATCAGGGTTACTTCAACTCTTGTACCATGAAAAGCTGCTGTTTTGCAGGAGATCGTGACCAGGTAAGTGCCTTCTGCATCCCACACCCTTATTTTTTTATTTAATCCTTACCAGAGGATATTTTTCCACTGTTTTTTAGAGAGAGTGGAAGGGAGAGAGACAGAGAGAGAAAAGCATCTATGTGAGACACATCGATCGTCTGTCTCCCACACGCATCCTAGCAGTATCGAGCCTGCAACTGGGCACATGCCCCCCAACCGGAATCAAACCCAGAACTCTTTAATCTGAGCCAAATTGGCTCGGTCCCCACACTCTTACTTTCCTTTCGATTGCTGTTCCTGTACTGGTCTTTATTTCTCTTTAGCATAATGTCAGAAACAATTGAGGGAAACAGTAATTGTGTGGGGATGTTCTGGCTTACTAGTGAGTTTCTTTATCAGGGCTGCCATTGAGTAATGTGAGGCACACACCATAAACCAAGGCTGGCTACAATATGGTTCTGAGCAATCTAGCTCTGCCAAGTTTGTGAACAGATTTTAAGATTCTAAGAATGTATCATTTCAAAAGAAAGGAGGAAGTCCATGGAAAATTAGCTTGCCAAAAGAAGAGATTTTTTGTGAGTATCAATAAGCTACAATGATGAATGAAACACTCTAAGTACCATCCAAGAGACAAATATCCTGAAAGGCCCCTTGGGATGGCATCTTTTTTCTTGGATGAAATGGGCTGAGCAACTTTGTTTGAGAAGAGGCCAGATGCTGACTCTTTTTCTTTTTATTGCCAGCATCACAGCTGAGAAGAACCCAAGCTGTGAGTCTCCAGCCTTTTCACAGTCAGTGTCAAGATATTGATACTGACTTAGAGCTGGCAGTTCAAAAACATACTTGCATTCTTGACTGTCTGTCTTGGCCATGGAAGTTCTGAAGTGGGTGTCAGTGAATGGACCTATTGGACTGGTCTGAGTAATCAAGCTGAAAAAAGACAAATATAAAGAAAGATTGATCAGATAAACAAATGGACTTTTTTTCTTCTCAAACAACAAATCTTATTGCTACTTCACATTTAGATTGGAAAAGAGAAACCTCATTCTCCTGCTAATGTTTAGTTTTCTCTTTGGGTCAAATTTTGACGTGTAATTTGCATGCCATACTCCATCTCTTTAAAGTTATTTGTGGGCCTAGGGCATAAAAGAAACAGTTCTTTGAAAACCTTTGAAGTTCCTGCTTTTTGAAGGAAGGTAGCTAGGGCTTTTCTTCTTAGATTGAGGTTGCTAGAGAATCCCAATGTCATAGTTTAAAGATTACTATATGTAGTAGGAGCATAATATATGCTTGTTGAATTGGGTTGAATATGAAAGAAATTGAGAATACCTCTTAAGTTGCCCAGGCTAGGGATTTCCTCTTTTGTAAATAGGGAATATATATCCAAATTCAAAATTTATATTCACGATGGAGTGCTGGGGCCTATTAGCTGTGATCCACACTTGAAACCACTAGGTGGCCTCAGTTGTATAAGCATTGTTTCCTTGGAGAGGCCACAATGCTAATGACTTTGTTTTTATTGGCAGTTTGTTTCTTGGGTGGGAAGAAACTAACTGCCAATAAACAGTCTAGAAATGAACAGTCTCAGAATAGAACAGACCATTGTAATTGTCTGCTTGCAGAATGATTGATCTAGTTTCATTTAACAGTGGAAGCAATAACCAAGCACCTCCTTCTCTATTCCTGTCTTCCTTCTTTCCTTCCTTTCTTGCTTTTATTGATTATCCATCTTCTGTCAATCTCGTATGTATGTGTGAGATCCTGTTTCATTTAACAACAAAGAGTAGGCACTAAATGTGATGGCTTATAGGCTTTTTGCTAGAAACAGGCTGAGGGAAAGGTGAAAGAAAATGGATATTGTGTTTTCTTTCAATTTCTATATTAGTAGTGAATGAAGCATGGAGTCCCTAAAAGACTCGGAATAAATGCTTCTAATCAATATGTAGAACACCGTAGTTTCTTAACCTCGGCATTATCAACATTTTGGTCAGTTAATTCTTTGTTGTGCAGAGTTATCCTTTGCATCATATGATAGTAGCATCCTGTCCTCTTCAAACAAAAAATGTTTCCCGACATTGCCAAATGTCTGTTGGGAAAGGTAAAAGGAGGGGGCAGATTGCCCCTGTTTGATAACCTGTGGCCTAGATTATAATTACCCAGTTTCCCCAGATACACTGGGACAGGTATTGTCACATGCAAAGCCATATAAGGTATTTTATGATGGTCCGGGTTCTGTACATTGACAAGATATAGTTGTTTTGCCTTTCAGATTATATACGATGATAAAAACATTGAATGACTTTTGATTTTCCCTATTCAAATTTGACTGACTTGTTATTTGTGACTTTTGTCCTATGGAAAGATTTTATGGGTACTATATAGCCTCTCTGACAAACTAGATAGCTTTTTGATTAGGGTAAGTGGTTTTCTATGGGTACAGGAGGATGAGAAGTCATTGAATCTAACTTTGGATCAGTTTTAAAGTCTTTCAAGTCTGTTCATAGTCCCTATATAGATTATCAAAAGTATATAACCTGCCCTAGCTGGTTTGGCTCAGTGGCTAGAGCATCAGCTGCAGACTAAAGGGTCCCAGGTTCAATTCAATTCTGATCAAGAACCCGTACTTCAGTTGCAGGCTCAACCCCCAGCCAGGGTCTGGGTATGTATGGGAGATAACTAATTGATGTATCTCTCACACATCCATGTTTCTATCTCTCTGTCTCTCCCTCTCCCTTCCACTCTCTCTAAAAATCAATGGAAAAACATCCTCAGGTGAGGATTAATAAAGTATATAACCTAGGGAATAGGAAATATAGAGATTTATGTTTACCTATGTTGTCCACTCCTTGGGGACTAAGAAATGTAGCTATTCATCATTATCTTGTCTCCATTGCCTGTCACACAGCAAGGGCACAATAAATTTATTTGTTGAGGTGAATCTTGAGTACAATGTGTGTGGGGTTTTAGCTTTCTGTGCCCATGGCTTTGCTAACTGTAAATCAGGATTGATCAGTACCATTTTCCTGCTCAACTTCTTAGGGCTTTAGGAAGATGAATTAAATAATGGATTTTTAGTGAAACTAATCTACTGAGTTTATACTTTTTAAGTGTGGCACAGAAGGCCCAACTTCCTGTCTTATTCCTGGAACAAGTCTCTCAAAAGTGATTTATAGGCTCTGGCTTTGCACACTCGGGGCTGAAGCAGCAGCTGCCACAGTTATAGTGTGATCTGTAGGACTGACATGTACAGTCCTTGACTAGTCTAGACAGGATCTTTTTTGCTGCTTTCACATTCCAAAGACTACCCTTTGCATATAGTGGTCTTTACATTTGATCTGTTCTTGTATACTTTAAGAACGTGCACAGCCTGAGGCTCTGTGCTCTGGAACTCTTCATGTAGTCATAGGCTGGGTAACTATCCCAGAGAGAAATCTGAAAATTTCCATAATAGGAATGAACATGGTCAAGAAAGGCACTAAGTGACCTATCTATCTGAAACAGTCTTCTGGCTTTCAGTTACAGTGAGATTAGTCAGTTCACACAAATAGACCCAGATATATTGCCAGAGAACATGTACTTCATTTTAGATTGTCCTAGGTTCACAAAATATTCGTTAGCATTAAAATGAAAGGAACATTTCAGCAAATTGGACTCAGGGAATAAAGTATAAAATAAGCTGAGCCAACTCTGTGTCTCCCCCATGCTCATTACACCATTGTATATGAATTCTAATTATAGAACTGTTAGAGATCGTTTTGTATAAATCTTCCTTTTCCAGATGAGAAAACTGCGGCTCAGAGATTTTGTACGGCTTACACAAGTTAAGGCATAAGTTTGTAGCCGAGCCAGGACTGGAACCCAGACTTTTGAGCTCTCAATAGATACCCCTTTGCACTATACCAGTGATGGCGAACCTTTTGAGCCCGGCGTGTCAGCATTTTGAAAAACCCTAACTTAATTCTGGTGCCATGTCACATAGAAATTTTTTGATATTTGCAACCATAGTAAAACAAAGACTTATATTTTTGATATTTATTTTATATATGTAAATGCCATTTAACAAAGAAAAATCAACAAAAAAAATGAGTTCGCATGTCACCTCTTACACACGTATCATAGGTTCGCCAGCACTGCAGTATATAGTCACACTTAATGCCAGCAATATCAAGATGTCACCTCTTACACACATATCATAGGTTCGCCAGCACTGCACTATATAGTCACACTTAATGCCAGCAATATCAAGCCACCAGTTTGAAACTTCCGTGCTTGAGCAGAATGTTTTACTCTCATGTTTAGTTTCATGGTTTGTCATTAATTCATAGGTTTGTGGAGACATGTTCCTTTTTTCTGTCTCTTACTAAACCCTTCCTAACTACATGCCTCTCCCTACCCCAACTTTTAAAATAAGAAAGCAGATATTTACTGAGCATCTGCTCTGTTCCAGATGCTATGGTAGACATATTCACATAACTGCCAGACAGTAACCTGTTTGAGATTTTCATTTAAAGCCCTATATACAGGGTTGGGCAAAAGTATGTTTATAGTTGTATGAGAAACACAGTTTATTCTTGTATTATTTATTATTGTATTATTTTCCATATGAACAACTGTAAACCTACTTTTGCCCTACTGTATATTGTCTTTCCACTTTTGCCTAAAAATACATGGTTTATTTCTAGTATAATCTTTCAATTATTCAAGTTTAATAACTTCTATCATCAGATAAGGTGACATAAGTGACATGAGATTGGCTGGGCATCCACAGAAACAATTAGTACACACTCCTGCCCCTCCAAAGCCTGAATTTATCTTTTATCTTTCTTAGCCAGCCCACCTTCTAGTCTTGCAGCATAGTGAGGAATCTTGCAGTAAAACAGCATTCCTTTCTCTCCAGCCTGCCTGAACCCAAAGGTTCTCCTTGCTTTGTGTCATACTTGGATTTTGTGTGTGTTTATCTTTCGTTTTCTCCCTGAAGCCTGACTTCATCTGTCTCCCAAGCTTCACACTCCCTCCTGTCT